ACCCTGACATCCACCTAGCCGGGGCCCCTTGCCTGCGACTCTTTGGCTGTCTTGACATCCGCTAAATACCGTATCCGGAGCCCCTTGCCAGCGAACCTTGGGCCGCTCTGACATCCACCAGGAACCCATCCGGATGGACCACCTGCCACCCATGGGCCGTCCTGACATTCACCAGGTACCCTGGCCGGTGGGTGTTACCTCTTGGGGCATGGCCGCTTCGACCTGGTGGTGGTTGGCATACCCATGCGCATACCAGGGGCAGCTCCCCCCCAGGCCAGAGTGCCGGCCGCCTCGACACAGGCCTGTAGGAGGTCACCTACCAGGCTACCCAGCTGGTGGGTGAAGCGGCCGGCAGGACGAGGTCGGCTGACCGCCGGTCACCGCTGCCCCGACATCCTCGGGTGTTTGACCCATCCGCTGACCGGACATCCTCGGGGGTCATGTCCTGCACCATGTGCTTGCTGAGGCACTCCTCAAATTTTGCAAAGCTTCTGGAGGGCAATAGCTATGGCGTTGCACCAGGCCTTGGAGTGGTACCCTGTGGCTGCACAGTGGCCAAGGAGGAGGTACACAACCTCCGGGTTTGTGGTCCATGCCCACCTGAGGGCTGTGTTGTCGATCTGAGTTGGGCCTGGCACTTTTTTCATGCTGGGACTGAAGATTGTGGACCGGCCCTCTTTGTACATGAGGGGTGTTCATGGGATGGCATTGGGGTCATCTGCAGTTAGGTTGGGCTTGTGCATGGAATGTTGGGTGGGGGTTTGAAGAACACCTCCCAGAGGGTGTTGCACTTCTCCTGGTGTAGTGTTGCCTTCTCCTGTCCTGGGCTGTAGTCAAGTACTGGGGACTGGTAGGTATGCCAACCTTGGGGCCATTTTACAAAGTTCATGGAGGAGGGCACGGTGCTACTCCACATTGGGTGAAGCCTCAAAGTTGTGTTTGTCAGTGAGGATGCTGAGGAGGTCTTCTGTGGTAAAGCTGGGGTGGACAATGACAATGTAATTTCCCTTCCCATTCCATTGCAGGCCAATGGCCCTGACCTTGACTCCGTCTTCCTTGAGGGACTTGTTGATGGCAGAGATGAGCACCTTGTTGCAGATGTTCTTGGCCGCTGGGCTGTCCAACTGAATGTGTATCACGAGTTGCAATGAGTGGTGGCAGGTCATAGGGTTGGTGAGCCGGTGTTGGGGTTTGGCAGGCAGGGTTGACTTTGGTTGAGCATTGGGTCTGAGTCTGAGTGGGGGTGGCAGCATCCGCCTTGCAGCCTGCCTTCTGTGCATACAATGCAGGGAGGGCCACCTTTGGTGCCGGGGGGCGTTGCTCCATTGTGTCTATCTTGTGGTTGAGCTTGGTAATCATAGCAATGATGTTGTCCAAGTTCAATGGTGTGGAAGGCAGTATGAGCACTGGTGCCGGGGCCAGTGTGGGTTTGAGGAGAGTTGGGCAGTTGATGTTGTTGTAGAGGTCCTCTACTGCCTGAATGATATGGTTTGGGTGCAGTTGGTGTTGTGAGAGGTGGCTCATGGCCAGGAGTGCTGCTACAAGCCCAGTGGAAACCTGCTCTGGGCCCATATGGGCATATCTGGGCAGGTCAATGAATTGGAGCACATTTGATGTCTTTCTTTGATCCCCTACCTGCCTGGATATGCCCATATGGCTGGATGATTCACAATTTTTTCATGTCATAATTTGATGGCTATCCGGGCCCATCTGGGCATATATGGATGAATTGGTGTACTCAGTTCCAACCCACTTTCAACAATATGAGCTCAAAGTGTTAAACCAATTACCATATTAGAATGACAGGAGATCTGATCTGTACTTTGTCGGCTGAGATTTGGGTCTTTTCAGCTCTAGGTGGGATTATAAATATAGAACAAATCCGGTTTATTTGGGACACAGCATTACAAAGTGTGTCTAATAACAGAAACAGGACGGGAAAATTGTTTAAGTCCCCAAAAGTGCTGTAGCAACAACCTGTCAGCCACAGCAGATGCAATTGAAGTGCAGAAGTGGGGAATAATGTAAAGCGAGTGATTGTGAGTGGATATTTGAGGTCATGCAACAAGCAGGGTTCAAGGGGGTCTGTGCAAGGTGCCCCACGTGTGTTCTCTGAATGTTTTGAGTGGCAGCATATCCTGTAACTGTAGTGTAAAAAGGACAGTCAGTATTGTGCAAATCAAGCAGTGAGAACGTTACCAGTTTTTTGCACTTGTCGTTGTATTTCTGTTGAATGGGAACCATTACTGATTGAAGGCTACCTACAATACTGCAACACTCACCTGTTGCTGTACTGCGGTCAAAACCTTCTTGTACCACAGGGCAAAGTTGTCCCTATTAACCTTGGTCTGGTCCTGGCGTACTGTCCACCACCATCCTGCTAGAGAGCTGGAGACATACATCAGAGAGAGTTAACACCACAAGTGTTCACATACCGGCCATTCATTCTGGTTCCAGGATGGAAGCCCTTCTTTTGAGTAATGCCAGCACTCGCAGATGCTCTGTACGTGGGGGATAGTCAGTGCTCAGGGGAAAAAAGAAGGCGAAATGGCCTCTTATGCTGCATTTGAACAAAGGGCGCAAATAGCGGCCTTGGCTCCATTGGCATGAGAGGTCGCCAAGCCAGGAGTAGTCGCAGGCGGACCCATCGGCCTGACATCTGCATGTGTGGCTAAAGGCACTTTGGGATGTGTGGGAAGTGTTGGTGTTGCCCATGCCACATGTGAAGGAGCAGGTGTCGTGCTCGGCACAATAGGCATGGGGTGCAGCATCTTGCATGGGGCCAGGCCTGTTGTGCCTGAGGGTCCAAATAGCTGAGGCTGTGAAGTCTTGTCAGCATGCAGTTGAAATGCGGTGACCGAGTAATGTCTTGATGCAGGGTCACTGGGCAGGTATGGTGAAGGTGGAGGGAGAACCTGAGATGGTGTCACAACCTGGGTTGCAAAAAAGTGAGCTGCAGTAGTAGAAAGATACAACATAAAGAGAGGATCATGGATGGAAGGCAATGCAACAGGCTGCAAGTCACTGACCTGGGGTACAGCCAAAGGCACTGTAGGAGCCGCATACATTTGCGATGCAAGGCTAGAAGTCGGTGCTAAGAGAGTGGGGTAGGCAGGAGGACTGCTGTGAATTGCAGGAGCAGGTGCATACAACATGTGAGCCAGAGGTTGATGAGAGATGCTGGCAGGTCGAGAGAACAACTCATCTCTGGGGACTGCGTCGACAGCTGCTACATGCTGGCACTGTTCCTTGGTCCCTGACGCGGAGTCTGGCATGGTATAGAGGTCTTCTTTTTCTTCCTCTGTAAGGCCAGGCTGGCACAGGTGTGGCTCTTCTTGCAAGACTACATATGTAGTAGACATAGGCGGGAAGGTAATAGAATAGAACTCACGTTTTAGATGCTTAACACTTTCAACTGTGTTCTCCTGACCATCCGGAGACTCCTTTTGTTTCTTGTTGCCTTTGTCATTGAGGTGCTGTTGCCAAAACTCTGGGAACTTCGTAGTACAGAAGTGCTTGGCCTTCCAGTCGTAGTTGCAGAGCCGAAATACCTCATAATTCTCTCGAAGGAACTGCATGGTGAGATATGGCGCACTCAAAGACGTCTGGGCCCACTTAACAGAGAACTTTTTATCCTCAGCGAGGCCTTCCCAGAAGTGACGCACTTGTTTGCGTAGACATTTGACCTCTTGGTTCATGAGTGGTTTGCAGTTCAACTTTTTGAGGTAAGGAAGGGAGCCGCGATCTGCCTCTAGCTGTTTCTTGGAGGACTTGTCCCAGATAGTCCAAGAAGCTTTGTCCCACCAGCGCATACAGTGCATTGCCTTGAACTTGCTCAAATGAACTTTGTAGAAGATGCCCATGTTGACTTTGTTCGCAGAACCGCTGTTGCCCAATGCCCAATTGTCACAGGAGAGCTTTGAGGTGATAGTCTTTAGTAGAGACTCGTAGTATTCCCTGATTAGAAGGATCACTAGATCATATGCTGAATAAAGACCAGGATGAGTGTACCATAGTCCCTTGGCCTCGGCCAGCACTGCGTCGCGCTTCTTTAAAAGCTGAGGAACATCAGCTTGTAAGCCCAGCATCTCATCTTGCAGCTGATGTAGTTGAGAAACCTGCATCGTGTTGAATCGATAACCAACACATTGGTCAGAAACGACAACAAGATGTAGTATATTGACTTGACTGACCATGTAACCTTCTGAGCCCATGAAACCCAATGAGATAGAACCATCTGTGGCTTGAGACATAGAGTGATTGTGGTTGTATGCAGAAGAGTACTTTGCGGATTCCAGAGGTTGACGAGGTACAAAAGATCCAACAGAGCTAGAAAGTGTTCCTGAGCCAGGCGCAGCGATGACTTGTCAAGAACCAGAGGTAGCATATGTAGCATGAGAGTATACTGACATAGTCCAAGGAGTTTGCGAGAGAGTGGGTGCAGCAACAGAGAGACGCTGGAGGCAGAGAGCAAAGGGGAAAATGTGACTGCGAGCAACGTAACACATATTCAAAGGCATTCTCGCTTGCACACCCACACATTGCGTCATAATTGCCACAGTTTATATTCCAAACATATTGCACATGTCACTTAAAAACATACACAGAGTACTTGAATCACAAATGACACTACAGACTTGCATGTACAGAATAATTGTACAGTATTTTTTATACGTAACACGGATCTCCATCCTCAGTACTGGGGAGAAGAATCTCTGCTGCTGCTACTGGCACCGCAACAGTTGGCATCATGATCATTATAGCTAGAGTACTCGCTGTTGGTCTCAGGAACCATGTCCATGGGCTTGTTTGCACCATCCTCATGATCTGAAATAAAACAATCAGTTACACGTTGTTACAGATAATGAGAAGACCAAGACCCACCGGTCTTTAACTTACCGGAATGATGAACGAGCATGGTGCCCCAAGGCATCCACTTATGCGTGCACCCAGGAGGAGTGGGCTTGTCGGGAGTGGAGCCAATGGGGGGACGAGTGCTCCGCATGTGAGCAAAGTGCTCTTGCTCAGGCAATAGTGTTTGGCTGCTTGAAGATGCTTTGGGTTCCACAATGGGCATATCAAGAGCCTTTGTGGTGGCTTGGCAAGGCTTTGGGCAGTTAGAAGGAGCACGAAGCAGCCTTGAGAGCTCAGAGAGCAAGTCGGAAAGGGCCCCCAAGTCCTTCTCAACCTGAAGACAAGTGGAAATTAGCTCCAGATTCTCCCCAAGGCTGGGACTCTTCAGGTGGATGCAGTTCTTGAGGTCGGTGTTGGCGTCCTCCTTGGCTTGCCTGATACACCTCTTGATGCTCTGCGCTTTCTTCACTTTGACACACATGATAATGTCAACTTCTTGCTGCCAGAGCCTGTGATATTTGTTCATGCGAGCCGCATCCTCATGAGTTGTCTGTGGGAGGCAGCTGGTGAAACACTCGCAGACGCCGTCGGGCAAGGCAAAGAGCCTTTGGATGGCCCAAGGGGCAATTGTGAAGAAGCCCTTGTTGTTGATGTCATGGCGCATGAGTATGATGGTGGGCTCAGTGACAACATTGAGGACTTGAGGGCCTGGAGCCACAAGATGACGCCTATATAATGGATTTGAGCCAACCATGTAAAAATGAAAAATAAGGAAGACTCACTCAGCGCAGACTACTTTGTTATAATGGATTGGTGGGCGGTCACAATGGGTCTCCTGGTCTAAAATATGATGGTCAGTATGACGTCTAATGACAAGGGTCTGTTATTGGTAGTCAGGCATTAAGTGGAAACATATGAACAGTCATAACTCACCAATTTTTTATGTGCATGGACGGGCATGAACTCAACAGCGAAGTCACGGTGAGACTCGCCAATCCTGGGATGCGCGTTCTTAGCCAGGTTGACCCCAAGCATGTTGTCGCTAAGGATGATGTTGTGGAGAGACATATTTGAGCAAAAAAAACAGCAGTGAGACTTCGAGTGGGGAAAAGCAGTATGGAGTGGGGGTGAAGGAGAGTGACCCGAAGGCAAGGGTTTTTGAGGAAACTTTTAGAGCTCGGCGGAGTATCAATCAGAGGACGTGTGGAGCCAGGAAAAATTGGTCCAAATGGAATTGTTGACATTGCAAAGGTGCAGGCATGGTGTGCAGCTAAGGATGTGATTGGAATGCCTATAGTGCCTGGAAGCACTTTCTCCAGCTGACAGTGTAAGTGTTGAAGTGCGGTTGTAAAAATGAGAACATACCTATGTGGATTGATGCACAGCTGTATTAGTGTCCTCCTGTGTAGTATCTTCATTGTCAGCACCAATAGGTTTGTGGTCTAAAAATGAAGATATGTTGAAGCCTGGTTTTTCAGCCAGGAAAAATCAATCTTCTTCTTGCTGAGTTGAGGAAATGGTTGGTCGGTGTGGCATCATGCTAACAACTCCAGTAATACACTTTGCATTGATGGCTATAACACACGAGTTGTTGGGCATGGTGCATGTACAAAAGGATTCATAAGAGAGTGCGATCAGATCGGGCACGGGGTCAGAGTACAGGTGAACAAGAGCAACACTGTTGCAGTGGATGACTTTGTTTCCTAGCTTGTCGTGTTTCCTATATGCAAGATGTGTAAAATACTCAACTTCAGTGAGTTGAGTCTTCTTTCTGTCAAGAAACTAAGCTAAAATAGAAAATGATATCATGGAATCAGCAACTGTATGTATCATATAATGCGACACACCTTTATGTTGCGAGATATACGCGTGTCCTTCTGGAGGTGCATCCGTTCTCGCCAGGCTGACCGAACATCTTCACCATTGGAAAGTTAAAGTCTTGCCCAGCAATAGCTAGCACGTGGTGACAGTCCGTCACCCAAGTACCTGTCAATAGCTTCATAAAATTCACCTTTGGGCATTGATTCATATCTAGACTTCATGTGCAGGAGAATGAACCCATCACCAAGGTTTTTGTGTGCCCAACGTATGGCAGGATCTTCTGGCGGATCAAGCTCTGGGATGCATTCACTTGACAGCGATGCAGGCCTTCTTGAGCGAGGTTTTTGTAAAGGTGTGAAGGCTGTCAAAATTCCCAACCTAGATTTCTGATGGTACATTCAATTGTCCATTGTGCATAGATAATGGGAGGTCCTTTAGCATATACCTCCGAGGTGTAGTGAGTAAGCTGGTGTATAATGTGGTGCATGAAATGCAAGCAGTCCTTGCGTCACTCGTAGTATAGTTCTTCGAATTGCATCACCCATGTTCCTAAGAGGTGATTGATTTCTTCTAGATCTTCTCAAGAGATGTGATACTGACATAGAAGGCACAGAGTGCGCACAAGCATGCATAAGTGTCACCAGTATTTCTCGGGAAGGACTTCATAGAGCAAAGCCGGTGCGTAGCATAAGCCATAGGTCTCCCATTCAATTGTCTTGTACTGAGAGTGCCATTTTTTGAACAGGTTGCGTGGCTTACGCTTGTGACCTTTGGGCAAGTGTCTACCACAGTCTTCAATGTCTTGCCTGTGTGCCTTGAAGATAGCTGCGTCAAGGAGGACTGAAAATGTCCATAGTTCTGGGTTATCGCCTAGAGATGCTGACTCGCCGCACCACAAGGTAACCATCAGTGAAAAGAGGTTGGCCATTTCATGCATGAGATTGATGGTCATGCAACAAGGAATGGTGAGAGTATACTCAGGCTGAAGCCCAAGAATATGCAGCGGCTTGACTATTCCAGTTTTTTTTTGCGGTGTCATTTGTACTCTGCAAGACTTGGAGAGGAAACTAGCTGCTCAAGATTAGCAGAATATTGTGCACTTGCTGGTGAAGGGACAGAAGCCAACAGTATGTCATCATGAGAACATCCTTTGACGTTGTATGGATCACTTGGGCGGAGCATAGCAGGATAGTATTGTGTTCCGTTTGATTTTTGTTGTCCCACCATACCGCAATAAAGGTGGCACCTGTTCTTGCCACAATAGCCGCACATGCCATTGTAGTACACCAGCCCTTGCACATCCGCCAGGGGGAAGAGATGGTGGAGTTTTGATGTGTACTTGCATTTCTGATAGGTGTTCCATATCGGTAGGCCTTCTCGCTGAAGAGCAGAGAGATGATGAAACCCGGAAAATAAGAAAGACTCGAGGTTCGATGACTTGTTAGGCCCAGGGATAATTCCTCCAATGAGGACACACTTCTTCTTGTAACTCTTGTCAGGAGAATAATTGAGGATAATCCATATGTAGATGGTCATGTCTGATTGTTGAGAATCAATTAGCTGCGCGCCATTGAGTGAAGACATAATGACAATGTCATCATCAGATATCTTGCCGTCAAGTACTGCCTTGAGATAATTGGTTCCTTCAATATAATCTGTAAAGACTGGTATCTGAGACTTGTCTGTGAATAGACAATTGAGAAGCTCATGGGTCCTCTGTGCACGATAGCTAAGTGCCTTGGCATTCTCTTTGTCGCCAAAGGCAGCCTGAACCTGAGCTGCCAGAGGATAGGTATAAATGTGCGAGACCTTTGTATCTTTCCATTGCTTCTAGCGAGAAGATCCTGATTGTACTAAGGTATATGACAATTACTACAAGCCTGAAGATGAGCGTCGTCACCTGTAAAACCCATACATGAGTTCCAGCACATGTTGTTCTCAATTGGTTTGACACCGGTGATCTCAGCAATAGTAGTCTCAATAGACTGAAAGGAGAGGAGGTCGCAGTTCGGAGTTCGGAGGAGTGCCGTACATCCTCATAAGACCTTCTTGACAAGTGTTCTAGTGCAAGATAAGTAGATATTGCGAGATTGAGTGTTGGACTGAGTGCAGGAAATGGTCTGCAATGAGGATTTTGTATCCGATGAAGTGTTTCTGGCCGGAGATTGCAAATGGGGTTGTCCAGACTAGCAGTATGAATCCTCTTCACAATAGAGACACTGTATCAAATTTTCTCCAATCGAGCAATTTTTGAGAGAGAATCCAGATCAACATTTGGAAACTGAGGCCCTGCTGTAAGTTCCAGAGGAGAATACAGGCAATAGAAGCCAGCCTGATGTTTACTAGTCAATGGAAGTATAACATATAATCTAATTAAATTGCCATACAGTGTCAACATTAGCTGGGGATGTATGCCAATTGTGATTGAGGAGGCAAGGAGTACTAGTAGTACCAAGCTGTCTTAACGGCCTGAAGTCAAGCTCAGATGCTGCGATCTCTGGTGTGTCCGCAAGGCAAGCTCATTGTGCAAAATGTTGCTCCGTCTTGTCTGCATCTTCTTCAGCGTGTCTGCGAGCAGGAACTGTAAACTCCTGCTCAGAATCATTAGAATCATATCAGATTTTACTAGTTTGTGTGGCTAGCTACTTTCTTGTGCTGTAAAAGAGCAAACATACAATCAAAAACATTGTGATCGCCTCATGTGTACAGTTGGACTTGTCTGCGTTTGTGTGGGCATTTGATTGCCTTTAGATGCTGATAAAATAAGCTCAGTGAAATTTTGTGGGGCTTGCCACCCTGGGTGCCTTGACAGACACATTTGACTCGGGGTGCTGTAATCATGGAATCAAAGGAGGGATTATAGGAACTTGACTACTTGGCTAGTATACACGTCAACCAGATGTGTATGTGTCACGTGAATTTATTTCTAATGTTCAAACCAAATGTTCTGGCTAAGTGCATGCATACACTGATACACAGGCTTTTTTTAATGCATTTGACTACAAATATACAAGCTTTGAGTTCTACTTGCTACTAAAATAAGTAATGGCACACTGTGCATCTTGATTGCGTGTGGCTTGTTTGTTGTGTATTTTTACACATCATCCTAAATGCCCTCATACCAAATTCATGACTCACCATGCAAGAATTGCTTTATTGGGAGTGTCCTAAGTGGGGCCAAGGTTTTGGAGGCTGCGCAAGCCAAGGGAATCCCCCAAAGGACAGCCTATCACATTCTTGAGAAATTCCTTGCAACTGGAAGCACGAAAAATGTACCCATCTCTGGCTGACCTCCAAAAATCACTGTTTGTATGAAGCGATACATCACCCGAGAAGCCTTCAAACACTGAAAGAAAACACTTTCCAAGCTTGGCAACTCTGTGAGCCCACCAATCTTGATACAGTCGGTTTGCAACATTTTAGCCAAATTTGGGCTTCACCATTGCAAGGCACATCGCGTGGTCTTTCTCACAAAAAAGCAGAAGGTTTGACAACTTTCATGGGCAAAAACCTTCAAGAATTGGAAGCTTCAACATTGGGCTAAGGTTGGGTGGTCGGATGAGTGCTACATGGTGATCAGCAATTTGAAAGGAACGGTCTACGTAACACGAGGTCCAGGCGAAGAATACTCCAAGGAATGCCTCCGGCCAGTCTTCAAGAAGAGCAGGAAGGACATTATGGTCTGGGGATGCATTATGTTGGGTGTAAATGGTCCATTGGTCATGATGGAGTACCCAGGAGGGAAGGGAGGTGGGGTGACGGGTGAAAGGTACCGTGAACAGATTTTGGATGGGGCACTTCGAGATTTTTGGGCACGGATGACACAGGAGCGGAGGCCTCTCATGTTCCAACAGGATGGAGCCCCAGCACACAGCCAGAAGCTCACCAAGAAGTGGCTTGAAGACCATTTGATCTGCCTCTTCCCACACCCTCTAGCTTCCCCTAATATCAGTCCTATTGAACCCCTTTGGATTCACTTCAACTCCAATATCCGGAACCACCCTCACCCCCCTACATCTGTTCAAGAGCTCAAGACAGCTGCAATTGAAGCATGGGCCTCAATTCCTCAAGAGAAGATCAATAGTCACATTGAGAAGATGCCAGCATGTGTGCAAGCACTTCTTAAGCACTGGGGTGGGCATATACTATTCTAAATCTACTTAGACATTTAATAGACACAATATAACATTACTCCATAATTGGAGTTGCCTTAGATAAAGAAATAGATGCGTGGTTTACTCAAATAAGTGTTAGGGGTGAATGTGAGAATCCGTGCTGTGCCATTACTTATTTTAGGGGTGAGTACATCTATCATTTCCTCTTCTGATCCTTTTTGCTTCTCTTTTCAGCCGGGACATCCAGGTTCGCGGTGACATGACCGTCTTTGGGCTCCTGCTTGACTTTGCGACAGGCTGGGAGACAAGGTTAAGTGACATGGAGTGGGCCTTAATGATTTGACGTACAAGTACTACCGCTAATACCATGAATGGAGGACAAGGCTACAGGATAGGTGGCAGATGGTCCACCTGTGGCCTGTTTTTTCCTTGGCTAGGGCAATGTCTGAGGTTATTCACTAGCAAGTGGATTGTATGCTACTCACCAGTGTGGGCTCTTCTTCATCTGATTCGATAGTGTCACTGGGCATGGAACAGTTGTGTCAAGTGGGTTTGATCGAAACCATTACTTTGTTGCACGTCACTGCAACGAGAGCCAGCTGTGTATATTTTATTGAGTGCAAGGCTTCTGAGGTGGCAGAGAACTTACGAGGGGACCCAGCTTATATATGCAAAAACCAAAGAATGAAAGCCTGTTGACATTGCGATCAGCAGCATACTCTTCAATCATCTTGTCCGTGGATGACATGGAAGTGGCTGGGAACCTCGTGTCCCAATCCTCGTGCATAGCATTGGTCTGCATGACAGATACATGTACGGTGTTGGTGTTGGTGTTGACGTCTACATAGACAACCTATACAGTAGATAAGTATACATGAAAGATACACGGAAGAGATGATGTCAGCTCACAACAAATTCTGGTCGGATGACCCAGAATATGAGCAATCTGCTGTTATCAAACAGACAACAAAGTTTGATAGAGTCGACAGCATCCTCGTGAGTGAGCTGAACAGGGCGATCCATAGATGGGGGCTTGCCATCATGTTTTATGTGGTAGACAGTGGGAAAGAGACTTAGCAGAAAAATGTGCATGCTGGGGTCTGGACCAGGCTTACCTGATAGCTATGGGGTATTGAATGTTTCCTGACTACCTAAACACACTGGGTTCTTTGGTATTCTTATCACATCATGGTCACATGAAGTGACTTTCCCCAACGGGCCCATATTTTTTTGATGCAGAATCTGGGTTTCTCTCATCTGAGCTCCAATTCACCGACCCACCCTGATACACCCATATGGGCCCAGAGCAGGTTTCCACTGGGCTTCAAGGTGGATCTGTACCACAATGAGCTGGCCTGCTGCTGTTGGCACTAGCTTGTTGTCCCTCTCCGTGGTCCAATTGCCTTGGTACTCGTCTGCATGGTTGTGCTCCATCTCGGAGTTGGTTGGAGCTTCGGTGGCAGGTTGAAGTTGCCGGAGGGCTTCAAGTTGGGCTTGTATCTGCATTTGGCTGAGCAGAGCATCTGTGTTGATGCATGTCTGGGGCTGGGTCAGCCTCTTAGACTCCCGGTGTTCCTCACAGTGGCTAGGAGATGCAATGGCCAGACATTTCCTGCTGCTGTATGCTGTGATATGGCTGGGGGACAGGGGTTGAGTGGTTTTGGGCCAGGTTGGAGTTCTTGGGTTGTGTATCACTGTGCTGGTGTTTTCCAGTTGTTTGAGTGGTTTGAATGTGTTCCTGTTCCTTGAGTAGGTTGTACAAGGGGTAACATTGGTTGGATGTACCAGGAAACAGCCTTGATTTGTGCCTCTAGTGCTACTAACTAATATGTAGTCACCTTCTTGCTGGTTCACCATGGTTTTTTAGATTGTGGGAAAAAATGAGGTGGCGGATGTACTGGATCAAAAAGCTCCCACCACAGCTGCAGACCAGGCCAAACTCTGCTGCCATGTGCTCTTGGTTGCCTGAGAACAATGAAGCTTGTGCTGAGCTTATCCTCAATGTTGGAGTTGACTAGCTTGCGCACACGTGGCAGACCTCTGCACATCTGATGTTTGGGCCAAACTTGAGCTGATCCATTGTGCTTGTAGCCTCACTTCTTGCCTCATCCTCTGTTGCTGCTTCCTTACCATGCACATTGAGACCAGTCAGACCATGTTCAACTGGATTGCTGTTGTCTGTGGTATTGTGTACCAACCTTTGTGTGATCCGCATCTCTGTGGATGGCAACCTCATCTTTGTTCTCACAATGGACCTTCTTTGTGCATATTGCACTTTTGTCATTGCCCACAATTCTACCCCTGCCAATGACCTCACCCTTGACCTCACCCTTGACCTCACACCTGCCTTCTCAACAAGTCCTGTATCACTACCAAAACCCCTGAGGATGCCACTGCTGAAGAAGATGCAACTTTTGCTGCCACCTACACATATTGCTATATTGTGCACTGTGTGCCACTGCCTGTTGCTGCCTCACAGCTTGTTGCTGGCACTGCCCCTGGTGTCGCTCCCTCTGATGGAATCTGCACGCAAATTTGCAAAGTGCATGAAGAGGAAGATCATTCTCTGCGGTCCTAGGGACATGTGGGAGGGGGGGAGTGGTCTGATAAGACCAACGAACCTACAAATACAACAAATTGACCCAATGAGGAGCATGAACCAGGCTCACCTCCCGCCATTCCCATAGGATATCCTGAATACAACGGCCTCCTTGACAAGATCTGGGGTTGCTACAGCAAGGACCGTGACTTGAAACACATCGCTGACACTCCAGGGCAATTTTGTAACTTTGAGGTTGAAGACGGATTAGTACGGATTTATATGCATGACAGAATGGTGATCTGCGTACCTGACATAATGGAAGGTGAGCGCCGCTTGCGCGAGGTCATCATTGACCAAGCGCACTCCCTCCTGGTGCACCTGGGTCCCTCAAAGATGCTGACTTACATGCATGAACACTTCTGATGGAAAAGCATAGTCAAAGACATACACCAGTTCTGCGACTCTTGCCAGACTTGCCAGAAGAGCAAGGCACCAAATCACAAGCCGTACAAGCTGCTCAACCCGTTGCCCATGCCTTCTTGTCCATGGAATGTGATTGGTATTGTCTCAAAGAACCGAGATGACGAGTTTGACTTGATCACCACTGTAATAGACCTGCTCACTGGGATGGTGCATCTCGTGCCAAGCAAGATGACTTACACTGCAAAGGACCTGGCTGAGCTAGTGTTTGCGGAAGTATACAAGCACCACGGACTGCCAAAAGCGATCATCAGTGATCGTGACATGCTGTCCAACAGCCAGTTTTGGATGCACCTGAATGTGCTGCTCAGCATTGACCAGAAGATGTCCAGTGCGTACCACCCTGAGACAGACGGGTCGACCAAGCCAGCCAATAACATGATTGGGCAGATGCTACGATTGGGCAGGTGCAACGACCATGCATCAGTCTGACGCAATGCGACTGGGTGAAACACTTACCTGCGATAGAGTTCGCGATTGATCTTGCGTGCTCGCAAACAACAGGCTACTCCCTGTTCTTCCTGAACACGGGTTGGATGCACAGGACCCTGGTCTGGAAACCTCCTGTGGAAAGCGAGTACCCGGGAGTACGGGTATACACCCAGCGTATGAAGGCCGCTGTCAGTTGCGACAACAGGTACTACTAGTGTAATACCAAGTCCCAGATGTTGAAGGTTCTCCTAAAACGTACAACAGTCTGGTTGTTCAGGGAGAAGTAGCCCTAGTTCAACCAAATGTGGATAGGAGTGATGTAGGAGTGATAGGGAGGATTGATATACAAAGATGGATTGGGGAGTAGTAGATGAGGGTAGCGATGATGAGGGATAATAACTGAGGATGATGATGGAGTATAGAGAGATGATAGTTACGATGATGATTAGAGATTGATGATGAGCTTAGTGAGTACTGACTTCACACTTGGAAATCAGGGAGGAAGATGTCTCTCATTGCACAGTCTAACTACTGGTATATATACTACTGAGCCTTTGCACGTACATGTATAGTAAGGGTTATGCGTATAGTATTTGTAAGTAGGGCTGTGGCACTGAGTAAGAGAACTGAATAATACGAGAATGATTTATAAGAGCCACAAGAACGCTTGGTAAGAACCACGAGAACAAAGTACAGTGAAAAAGAAATAGCGAGGCTGCGCTCGCGCAGCATTCTTAGTAAGTACGAGAACAAAAGACAAGGAAAGGGGAAGTGGACGAGTAAGCAAGGGGAAGTAGTGGTCCATAGTCCAATCAAAACAATGTAGGTGAATAAGCAAGGGGAATGGCTGATAAATTGAATGACAGATGCGAGAAGAAGATAGTAGAAATAGTAATGTGCTCACAAATCCAACACTGCCCTCCACTCCTAGTGACTCATTGATGACCAAGCCAGTGATCTGGAGGCTGCACTCCCCCTGAGGTGCTGACCAAGCGCTGAGTAGAGTAGTGGGGAGAGAACTGCTGCAGGGGCCTATGCTGGAACATGGGTGGCTTGATGAAGGAGTGCTCATGGTCAATGGCTGTTGAGTCGACGGACATCCTGGACGTTCTGGATGATGTAACCTCCATGAATGCTGCTACAAAGTCTTTGCTGGTCTGCGAGCTGATGGGGTGGAGGGCATGATAGATGCTGCACTGCACGAAAGGAAGGTCGCAGAGGTGATAAGGTACAGCTAGACGAGCGATGCAGTAGAGAGGGCGGTGCTCTGTGGTGTAGACATTGAAGACGATGTAGTCTTGTTCATAGTAGCAAATGGAGTGGACAGGCCCACTAGTGGCCTTAGATTGCCCTTCGCCTGAAGCAAGGAGGATGGTCACGTTCGACCCAAGGCTGACTTTGAGATGGTCATTGAAGCACGTGCGAGGGTCTGCCACAAAGAAGTACTGATTGGTGATGCAGCGAATGAAGGTAGTGTCAGGATACATGTGAGGCTCCAAGAATTGGCGAAGAATGTCGAAGGAGTGGAAGATACTGTCGCTGATGAGCCACGCAAGGAGGACACAGTAGAGGGTGGCAACGAATGTGACTGAGAAGATGATGGTCACAAGAGTGAAGAGGAATGGGTCCTCTATAACTATGCCAAGCATGGTGATGAGAAGAGACTCGGTCGCGTCCTTCTGCTCTCTTGGTTATGAGGTGTATTTAGGGCTCCAACCATATAGTGTACGTAAATAGTTTATGTGTTTACAACTGTATAATATACTGTATAAGTGTACGGGTGGGCCTATATGGTTTATACTTTGTATGTAAACAGTTTTCTATTGTTTACAAGACATTATAGCATTGTAGTACGTCTGTAAGTGCTCAGAGACGCTTGAACTGACCCCAAAATAATATAATCTTGTGCTGGTCCTAATAATAATGCTTGCTTTTGAGTCGGACAAACAGAGTCATTATTCCTGACTCCGCTAGCGTGATCAGGCTCAGTATATTTGCTGGGCACTCGCACCTACACTGAACAACCATGAATGAAACAAGCACAACTTATAACAAGGTATACCTCCACCCGATATCTGAATCCTGTGTATCTAACCTCTTCCCAGCTTCGTGCTATAATTCGACAGATTATCAGGGTTTCAGCCCACCGTGCACGTTTCTGTGCAATTGTGGAGCACCTCCAGATATCCCACCATAATGGCCTCATGCCGGTGTTGGATATTCAAACACGTCCAGCCACTACCCTCGCTATGGTTGAGCGTGCACTCCAGCTTCAAACGGTAAGCAGATCGCTTTTTCTACTTTAAGCACTAGTATTTATAGCATGACCCATATTTTGCGTGCACC